CGCCCTAACCACCTGGCCATGCCGGGCCGATTATAAAAGAATTCTCAATATTTCTCATTAATATTTATAACAACAGAACCACCGCTTCCTTCAAAATAGCGTTGTAAGCTATATTTTCAGTAGTTTCAATTAGATTTTTGATAGAAGGAGCTAATAATCATCATGATCAATTACATTTAGAAAGTTCATGAAAGTTAAAGTCTCTGTAAAATCTAGTAATTCTGAACACTAAGTAGAAACAAGGTAATGATATAAATACGAGATCAAGTAAAGCAGTCAGTTAATGAGTAATCAGTTATTGAGTATTCAATAAGTCATTCCGTTCAGTGCCAGTCAGTTAGTTCGATGTCAGAAAAAAAATTATTCAGCGTTAGAAGTGAGAGATATCGCGTATTACTATCCAGTTACTAGGTGGTTTAGCGTATTTATTTATCGACATGTGCTAAGTACGTTAGGCTTATATTAGTTTGAAGCTTATATTGAAAAGTTTATGTATCATAAGTTTGGCCAACAAGTGAACGTCGTTATAGCAAACGTTATTGAAGAAATTAATTAATTCGTTATCGTTACGTACTATTTTTACCAAATCATCCAAAAGAACCCATCCAACAATAGACCACGTTACAACCACAGGTTAGGTAGTGTGTACCACACGTGGACTGTATTTTTTGTAGCTTTCTCATGCTTGAGTCCTTTATCAGATGTTGTTTTCAGAATTGTTAAGAATGTTGTTCATGCTTACTAATCCATTTATTTGTATGAAAAATTTAATTATTATTATATTTTGTTTGTAGAAAATTCAATAAAAGACTGAATTAGAACATATACTATATTTAGTCATAGTCATAGTAGGTGAATCAAAGTTGACACAAGCAACGCTATCGAAAACAAATCAGTCTGTCGATGTCCCAGACAAATTCGTTTATACAGTATTTATGAATCATTGTAAAATAAATGTCCTTAAGTTACTCGAAATTGTCTTGTAACGCCATATGAATCAAAGGTGGAGGAATGAGTTGCAAAGTGGGGTGCTTGGCTGGACATGAAGACTTTATAATGAGATTGAAAGTATAAAAGGTAGGCTAAAAGAAGCTCACGTGCTGACAAAGGCTGCTCAATGTAGAGGGATCTGGGGCAAGTCCCCCAGAAAATGTATATAATAATATAATTTACAGTTGCTATATAAGTCAAATATGTAAAAATGGGGGTACTGAAGCATCCCCAGCACCCTCGGTTCCGACGCCTCTCTCACCCACGATCCCACCTCTAATCTTTACAATGACTAGGACAGAAGTTGGTTGATAGACGTATGCCTTACGTGAATACTCATATCAACATTTAGTTATGAAAGATAAGCTTTAGCGGAAGAAGAAAACTTGACCAAATGTTAGACGGATAGTGGGACAAGGGTTCAAAAATAGGACTCTCCTAATTTAATCTTAACATAACACTTGGTCACCCTATTTGCTTGTTAACTGTGTTACTGCTTACACCACAACTAAATACATTATAGAGAAAGGTTACGATGTTTTACTTTGTTTATTTGCATTATTTGTGCTCCACCTTAACGCGATTCATCATCTACTCCAAACAACCCTGAATACTTGCTTATTATAGACTGATTCAGTAGTTTCAGTTAAAAAAATAAAATAAATGCTCGCGGTTATCATAAAGTTCTTGAGACGACAAGGGTGTCAAAGAATTTAAGGACAACCGTTCTACATCAGATCTGAATGGATTGAAGTGTCTACTATATCTTAACTCGTACAGGACTTTCATGTCTGCAAAACTATTCTAGTAACTGGTGAACCTAAATGTGGAAGGAATTACATGGTATGTGCTTTGCTACGAATCCGTGTCAGCATATGAACTGTGAAAAATAAAAGCTCTTGTATAATGTGGAGAGTTGGATAACCAAGCAGTTTTCTCTCGAAGTCGGTTTTCAATAGATCAAACTTTCTGAAGAAAGTTGCAGCTTGTAAAAGCTATTTTATGTACTCTAACAGTCAACATCCATACATGATAAATTATATGTATATATATATAAATAAACATGATTTACCACTGGAAAATTCATAAACTGAATATTTAACCGTCTACCAAGCTCACAACAGTGCTTAAGTACGTAAACTGAACCATGCCAAACTGTCATTAAATTACCGTTGTCTACAGCCATAACCACAATGACCCTAAAAAAAGTACGCGGAGAATGCGTGCTGCTGTTATGAATGAGGTTTCATGAGATAACGGATGCGATAGGCAATGTAACAAATGTCCCTGTCACAACAAAAATATATTTTGCCTATTATTAGTTAATTCAAGCGTCATCAGAGAACCTGCCAAAACTGACATTATTCTAATTCTATACAATCCTAAGACATAATAGCATCAGTTAGAGCAATACAATGAACAAAGTTGGCTTAAACTCAAATTTTTGGTCATGACTTACGTCATTCATTGAAAATTAGGGAGCGTTTATTTATCTATATAATGTCTTAAATTTACGAAGTTTGCAGATTGAGAGAAAGAAACCACTCATAACTAGGGAAAAAATTGTTTATAATAAACTATTTCTTAACACATTTTGTAATGTTGACCAGTTTTATGAACTAAAATAGGAAAC